AAATAAAATGTCTCTTCACATCGCGAATTAAAGCGTAAAATTGAACGTTGCAAAAAAAAAAAACGTGCCTATCGCAAATTGCGTTTGCACGAGTCATCAACCACGTTGCATCGTGTCGGTGAAACGTGTCTTATCGTATATCACGTATAAAGCAAATTCGAAGCATCAGAAGTCAGAGAAGATAAAATTTTCAAAAGCCTTTGGCGCGTCAATGTTTGAAGTATTTCCAACTAAAACCTTTCGCGTTAATTAATAAAAAGTATCGTTTTAAAATACACTTTTTTTAAAACGCAAGTAGTCAGTCGCCAAAAAAATCGACGTATGTACACACAAGCGCTAACCAACACTACTAGTGATAGCAATATGTAGAGTGCGGTAAAATAGTTAATTATGGTATCGATGGGGTGTAAAAACGTTATTCTTATACGGTATTCCATCTTGATATCTCTTGATGGTAAAGCAGATTCACATATACACCATAGAAAAGATATACGACATGAATTATGTACATATATATCATGTACATATATAATTTATATGTTATATCTACATATGTTCATACACGCAATTCTAATTTACGAGGTGAAGAATTAATTTTAGCAAAACTCGGTATCACAGTTTACGTACAGATCTTACTTGTATACATTAAAGTCCTTCCGAATATATTAATAATAATAATAATCGTTGCTGCTTCTATCACGTAGTTTTTTTTTTTTTTTTTTTTTTTAATTTTTAATCTTTTTATATAATCTTAAAGAGTTTTATATTATAATAAATTATAGAAAAAAAAACTACTTTCTTTGACTAATTGTCGTGACATTGCACGTCACAGGATTTTTCATTGTAAAATAGCTCTTTCATGTACTTTCTCTCTCTCTCTCTCTTGCGAGGAAAGTCATTCAGCCGGCAATAATTAAAAGCAAAGAGCCGCAACGTGCATGGTTAGCCGTGGAACTCCAGGTAAAGAGACGAGCCGTAGAGGCGGGTTGATGGCGTATCGAGCCGGGCATCGAACCGTGACCCGAGCACCTGTTGCCGCCTCCACGGTCGCGGCTCAATGTGAATTGACCTAACCTGTCCCTACTTCCTACACTCAGCAAGAGTTCACAGTGGAGTTAGTCCAGTCCAGACCAGTAGACAAAAACGGCACTACTGTCAAACGGTTAAAATCCGTGAAAAGCTGGGGCTAGGGAAAAGCTAAATGAGCAGTTGCTCATCTCAAAAGAGAAAACCCGATAATTGAAATATATTTTATCTCTATGTACACAAAAGAGTTTTCAAATATTTTAAAATATTTTCGCAAACCTTTTTCAAATTTAAAAATCTATTAAAATATTAAAATTTTTTTTAAATATTAAAATTTGTTAACAGATATATATTTCAAAAATAATATATTTCTAAATAAAAATTATCTTCAAGCAACACGTAAAAAGTTCGAACCTGTCACGACGAGGGATATGCGGCTGAAAGACAGTTCCGGCAAAGAAAATTTAATGGAAGTACCGGTGGTGCGTCGACACCAGACACACGTCGCGATTCACTTACGCAAGTATGACAGGTAGTTCCCGCATCGCATCATCGCCGTGTAAACAGATAGACGGCCGCGTACGAGAGTAACACGCTATTGCGAAACGCGCGCGGTGACCACCTTCTGGTTAATAGCGCATAACAAACTGAAATTGCCACGGATCATTAATACTTGATACAAATAGATCCGCGCATAACGATCACACACGCTGATCTCGATACATCTCAGCTGCTTGACACCAGATGACCACCGATATCGGTAATGTGTAACGCGAAGAGACATGTAAATTACACACATACGCGATAAGAAATCTGGCACGTAGAAGTCGCGAGAGAAGAAGCATTTCGTAGAGAAGAACTATTATTCGTTCATTCGTTTTATGCAAATGTTTGCTCGTTCACGTTCCATCCGCCATTATATTCTCTTCCGGCGAAAATGCTTATTTTATTTTATTATTTTTTTTTTCGTTCTTACGTCCTCACCGAATAACGAGCGCTATTGACGCGAGCGGCGTCAGAACAGATGATAATCTGGAGGAATTTGAATGTGAACGGAGAGAGACTCGGCAATGAGACCATCTCGAGAAAAAAATTGTCTGCGGTAAGACGATCTTTGTGACGCGCGCAACTCGATATTTACAGAATAATCTCGAGTTTCCGTCTCTCTCTCTCTCTCTCGTCGACACCCCTTCGTTGAAGGTCGGACCATGATAGCGAGAGGCACGCGATGGTCGATTGTTCGAAAATTTAACGGCATCGCGAGAAAGTGATTCATCAGACTCGTAAAAAAAAAAAAATTCGTCGCGTCTGGTCGATTAAACGCTCGATTGCAATCTTAATTACTCAAATGGGAAAAAAAAGAGCACATTAATGTCTGTTGCTTGTTAAAAATAAATTAGGACTACAAAAAAAAAAAAAAAAAAAAGTGAAAGAAGAAACCGCGTGATACGCTGTGATACCGCTTTCTAGATGGAAAGAATCCGCGGATATTAGTCGAGAGAATGCGCGCGAATGTTTGTTTTGTTTATTCCCCGCTGTTGAAGATTGTCTATTTGTTAATCTCCCGCGCTGGAAGATGATAGTTACCCAAACAAGGTAGCGCCGTGTTATTACGGCCGTTCTTGAAAGTCCCGAACCCACGGTATCAACATGCACCGACCGCACCGTTGCGGCGGTGATCTTCTCCGTCCGGGGAGAAATAACGGAGAGAAAACTATTATCTCCGTATGTACATTATCCATTATTTTTGACGTGACCCTAATCATACGCGGGATAATTCTGACGGCGGAGAAACACAGTCGTCTCAGAAAGTCGGACAATTGAATTCGGTGTGCGCTCACGCTGTTACGTGTTCGCCGCCGGCCGCACCGCGAGGGTCACCGTTGATCGACGTAATCTTCATCAATCGGACCGATAAGGCGACGTAAATAATCGAAACACACAGTGGCTGCGCGATGAAAATGAAAAAAATCTCGCGCGTAACGTGTTCGCATTAATAAAATGTAGTTGTAAAAACTTTATATACCGTGTGATTTGTTTCAAAATTACATTAGACAGAAGCATAAACTACATCATCTTTGAGAGAAGATATACGTGGTTTAAACAAATTGCAGACCAATTTTAAATGCGAAAATACGTGAATTAAACGTAGCCGGACGTTTTGCCTCGCGGAAGTACGCAGCCCCGTCTCCCGTGTGTCACATATTGTATGGACCGGCACAAGTCCCTTTAATTAAATACCCACCCCGATGACCGGCAATTTAAATGCGCTCGCGAAAACACGTGAATTAACGGTAAGGTCTACAACTACCGGATGTTATGCCTGTATGAAAAAAAACAAAGGATCACCCAAAGGATCAAAACGAGAAGAAAAATATTGCACGCGATTTGACGACAAGAACGCAAGAAAGCGTTGACCGAGACGAGAAAAAAGAAAACACGCACTTTTTATTCGATGATTGTGCGAACAAGTAAATAATCGACGAAACATTCAACGTGAACACGAACACGACGTTGGCTGACGACAGCTGTATGAGGGACGCTGTGTGTATAGGAAGAGAAGATCGTAAGGTTCGTGGGAGAGGAATTTACATGCGAACGCGCGATACGGCGGCCGGCAATCGGGCGTCGACATTCTACTCTGGCGTCGGATTATGCGCTAAAATACACGATAAATTTCGAGTAATTGAACGATCACCGATTGGACGATTTATGAGATCTTCTTTTTATCCTCACGCCGAGAGAATAAATTTCATTGACGACGTGAACAAAAATATCGCAAGAAACAATTATCTTTTTCCAATTATAACGAACAAAGTGAAAACGGGCAATTGTTTGGTCGGTCAATTATTTTTCAGAGTTTGACGCTTCGCTGATCAATGCTCTCTTTGTTCCTTTCTTTCGGTTTACATTTTCGAACACAATAACATCAACAATAAAAGACTGTCTGGGGCCGAGAGAAGACGAGTCCGAATTCGACCGCTCCAAACATATGCTTTTCACGGATGTTTACGATTCAAGTCAAATTCAGCAAGGTTGATTTCGTTGTACCGCGATACAAGATTCGCGCTCGAACAACGTCGATCGCGGTGCTGCGCTGAAAAGAGCGCGTCGACCGTGCACTTGCGCTAATGTGCTTCGCTATATTTATCAGTGAAAAGTAAATAACCATCGGCTAAAATAGCATGTGCAAATGTGCGGCGGGTGTGTGTGTGTGTGTGTGTGTGTCAACGTTGTTAACATGCTGACCCTGCGCGACACGGCGAAACGCGAGCGCATCAAGATGAATCAGCGTCATTGGACGGCGTCGTATACCTCTCTCTCGAAATTTTGCAAACTCACCGCACATTTGCGCGCCGCGCGGAACGCGCGTTGTAAAAGCGAGTCGAACAAATCGCGAGCACGCTTGTCTCGCACGGTATTTCTTCGAAATTTCACGATCACGCTAAAAAAAAAAAATATTGCAATCGCAGCTTTTCAACACCTTCTCCGTTTACCTCCCGCTCGTACAAAATTGAAAGAATAAAACAACAAGAAAGACGTCAGAATTTGTTTGAACAAGTAAAATATGTCGTTTTAGACGAAAAAATTAATAAGCTATTAACAAGAAATTTCTAAACTGATAAGCTCCGTTATAGCTTTGATGACTCGTTTGTATATATATCAAACGACTGTATACTTTTGAAATATTTTGGAATTTTCTAACAGTTTCGAAAGAGACTCCGAATTCCATCGAAGTCTGTCGCAATTTTGCGTCGGTTATTCGTCGAATTCGACGTTTTCCAACTTTTCTATCGTTATTTTATTATACCGATCTCACTAGTGTGTGACAACTGTACAAACAAGTTATTAGCAGAATAACGCGCAACATCTGAATATTCGTTAGAATATCCACGAGTCGTCCGTTAGAGACATGCGATTAAGACGATACGCAAGGTAATCGATATGTGCAACGTCGCGGTTTGTATACTCACCAGCGATTCGTAATACCGCCCGGTCGGCAGGATCGAGCTGCAGGATGCTCAGCGGCTTGTCCTTCGCCCATTCCTTGAGACTGCCGTCCAACTCGAACTCCATGATCCCCGCAGCCCAGGCCGTTCGACGATTCTCCTTACACCATGCTCGGGAGCCGCGCCGCTTCTCCTCGCTTCGTACGGCGCGTCGTATGCGCGCGATGGCAACGTCCTTTCGCGCCGCTACGCCAGCAACGCGCGACGACGACGGTTTGTCGACATTGTTTACATCACCACGCAACGCGGCACCGAGCTGCTGCTGCTGCTGCTGCTGCTGTCCACCCGACACGTGCGTCTCGACGCACGTGCGTCCGCTGCGAAAAACGTTAAGCACACATGTATATACACACACCCACGCACGCACGCACGCACATTCGTATATCCTTTCTTCTCTTCTCCCCGTCTCTCCACCTCACTCGTTTACGCGCGGGATAACAGTCGATCGTCTTCCATCCGTCGGAGACACGCGAGAGACACGGCGATCTCACGCGTTTGTTTACCTCCCGAACGCGAGATCGTACGCATACGTGCAAAACGCGACGGAATTAGTCGGACGGTAAGATAAAAAAAAAAAAAAAAAAAAAAGAAGAGCACGTTCGCGACAGCTTCTCGCTCGAACGACTCATCCGTTTCTGCTGGAAACCCAACCGGGAGTGATATTTCCGGTTTCTCTTCGCGGCGTTCGAAGTTTCGCTCCCGTGTGTTATTTATCGCGTGAGACTCCCGTCTCGAACCCTCCCCTCGTGAAGATAAGAAGGGGAACTCTTACGAAGGGTTGCGGAGGTCACGAATTGTGTCGCTCGCACGGACTATTCCGCTCGAACTATATATAGGGTCTCTCTCTCCGTCGTCGTTGTCGTCGCGCTTTTCCGAGAACTCGACAATTCTACCCTAGGAGAGACACAAATCGAAAATAATACCGACTATACCGAGGTCGCGACGACCTTGAAGAATTGAGCGGCTTACGCGCGCGCGCGTGGAGATAAGTTATGCGAATTTCATTGAGTGTTATTTACGTTCATTGGACGGACAAAAAGGTGCTGCGTTACGCTCCTCGAATTTTATACGAATCTTAATCGACACTCTTGTAAACCGTGAGGAAGTGAGGTAAAATATCCCAATGATCGAACACATTAACGCTGATATATCGCGCGGTCATTTATTAAAGAAATAATTATCAAAATATTTACGTAAAGTTGGAAACTAAAATAAATAACATATTGATTAAAATAATTAAAATATATTCAAAAACTAATATTTAAATATTTCGAAATAACAATTAAAAATATATTTAAAAATAACAATAGCTTTACTGAGCACACACAAAGCTAAGTATATTAAAAAAAATATACATAACTAGATAATTTAATTAACTAGAAAAAAGTAACAATGACTCGAAAAGCGAGACGACAAACAACATCTGCTGACTTCAAGCCGATCAAACACTTAAAACATTGAGAATTGTTATGATGAGCACAATTATTTACCCGGTAAATTATTTCTTTAATAACCCGACCACTCTCTGGCACATGTCCGCTCATTGAAACATTTACCTTCTCATCTGGTTTATTACCCCGATTCACAGTCGGGGTTCGTGGTAACAAGAGGTTGGCGTTATTTTCACGTATATCGTCACAACACGCACGAGTATCTATCTTCGATCAACCGCAAAGATAAACACTCCATCGATTCGTTTATCTTCAACTTATCCGTACGTTGACTTCTGTGAAAGAGAGAGAGAGAGAGAGAAAAAGAGAAAGAGAGAGGAAAAAACTAGACTTCCCCCCCTCCTCTCGTGTCGACACAAATATCACACAAATCTACTAGAAAAATTCAATTTTGTTCATGTATCTATCGAAGAACGTATCAAATATCTCTCGGGGCAGATACCGTTAAGTGAGATATCGCGACACTGAGCTAAGCAGCAGCTAGACAAGAGAATGCGGCTTTTCTTATCATCGTCTCGCGGTCAAATAAATCGACGTCGTGGAACAAAAGCGCTCGTACGTGTAAATCGTATCAAAACGCCGCGTTCGTCGTCCGAGAGGAGAAAATCTCAATGAATGGAGAATGGAGGAGGAGACAAACACGCACACGCGAAAACACGCGTAATTAAGGAGCGGAACACAGACGTTCCGCGCGCGGAGGCGGGTTCTTCCTCTCTCTCTCTCTCTCTCTTCTTTTCTTGGGTTTTTTCTTTGTTTTTTTCTCCTCTCTGTAGGACAACGATGCTTTCGACGATGCGGCGCGGATATCCGTTCCACTTACCGGAGCTTCGAACGGTTTCGATTCGCGCGCGAAATAATGCCGCGCACAGTTCGGACGTACCTAATTGGGCCTGCAATTTGCAACGAGGCGCGTCACGAGGAACGCGACGCGAGGGTCGCGCTGCGAATTTTCACAAGATATTGTGTGCCTTTCTTTCGCGACGCGCGTGTGCGATCGTACGCGCGTGTAACGTCGACGAAAATTAACGGAACAGAAAATTCGTATATTTCTTACACTATCCGTGGCAGTAAAAACGGCGACCACCTCGGCGACGAACAGTCGTAACTTGCCACGCGCGTGCGGGCGCGTTCGCCAATAGTTTCAGCTTTGGAGAAGCCGCGACGACGAGGAGCCGCGCGCGACGGGAAAAGATCTGGTTTTTACGAGCAACCATTAAAGAGACTCTCTCACGAGGGTGCCACGACGACGTTATTATAACAACCGGTCGCCGACGAAAGCTCACATCTGCTGCTGGAAAGCCTATCTCGCCTCATAGAACTCGCTCGCCGACGAGAGAAAACACACGAGATAAAAAAAAAGAAAAGAGAGATTCAACCTGATACGCCTTGTATTCTTCAACAAGAAGATGCGACCGGTTAAATTTTATCTCTCGTAAACCACCGCGCTCTGTGGCTTTCGTCATCTCCCGATCGCGACGCACTCGCCGAATTAAATCATCATATCACGTACGAGCCTTTAAACGCGACGACAAGCCGAAAAATAAGGAAGCAGTTATTTACTATTTCAACCGCGTTTTCGTACATCTACATTGTTAAACGCGTTGTTTTTTTTATCGATCGACCCGGCGTTTCCGAATTTTTGGAAAGTCCTATTTGCCTCGCAGCGTGCGTGCATATGTGTGTGTGTGTGTGTGTGTGTGTGTATATAGGTCGGAGGGTTGCGGCAGCGATAAATTTCGACAGAGAGAAGGTCGGAAATGCGAAACAGTAAACCGGTATCGATTGAAACTTTATAGACCGTGAGATATTTCGAAAACAGCACACGAAACACACATGTAATCCGCTGTGTGTTAATCAGGAATTTCTCTAGCGCAACGGCACACACACACACACAAACAAACAAACAAACACGTACTCGGGACTATCAACGTTTTACAGTCTATTTTCGATCTTGTTCGTTTGTTTATCACACCGCTATCGTTACACTTTCCACACGTTCAAGGTCTCGTAAGATTGCGTAAATTGATTGATCGCGCCCGACGTATCTGCGCGATAAATCACTGCAGTCAACAAATTTGTTTGTTTAATTCGCAGAGAAAAGAAACGGACGAGAACGAAAAAAACTCGCGCGTTATTGTTCAGCAACGCGTACAGTTTCGAAAGTTGCGGAAAATTAAAAGTAGGATTAGTCATATTTGTTCTATCGCCGTTCTACATCTCTCTCTCTCTCTCTCTCTCCCTCCCTCTCTCCCTCTGTTTACCAATAAAAGTTGTACGTGCCTTCTGTACAGCATTTACGAACGAAAACAGTAAAAGTGAGAAAGGGATACAATCGGCTGTCGTCAAAAACGTCAAAGCACACTCGGAAAATTCGACTCTCCGTTGCACTCGGAGAATGTGCGTTTACTTTGTTTACAAATACTTTTCCGTTCGCTCTGTGTTTCTCATCGGGATTACTCGCGACTCGTGTGTGTTTTACTTGTCGCAAAAACAAAAGAAGTACACGAGACGTTCGCGACGTCGTCTATATAACAATACGCGACTTAACGAGAGTCAACAAAAAAAAAAAAAACAACTGAGCGTCGAGAGAGTGGAAATGTCGTGAAACATCTGAACAAATTTCGCGATTGTTTCGTCAACGCGCACGTCGTCGGAGACGCGACGACGTAACCCCAACAAACATCCACGTCGTGCAACGGTGGTCACGCCGTAAAGCGCCTCTCGGAGAAAACGGCGCCGTGCCATCGGCCAGCAAAGCACCGCGTATGCCGCCGCGGTTGGACTAACCTAGCCGCAACGCTCGCAAAGTGTAACGAGGATTCTACTTACTTCCGGCGGTTCTCGCGCGGTGCTTCCTCCTCCTCCTCCTCCTCCCGCACTTTGGCCGTTGCGACGCTTATACAGAGTGTGCTAACCATATAGGCGGCGTTAAGAGCCACGCGACAACGATAATCCACGCGTGGCTCACGCGTGGACAGAAGTACCGTCGTCCGTTCGGAGAAGAAGAAAACGCGCGGAGGTGACGAGAGAGAGAGAGAGAGAGAAAGAGAAGAGAGAGAGAGCGAGACGGGGAAGAAGCTTACACTGAAAATGATCCGTCGCACGTTCCGCGCGACGTCCTCGCCTCCTGGTGCACCACCACCTCCTCCTCTTCCACCACTGCTTCTCACGGCGGCATTGCAGCCGCGACGCGCCGGGTGAAAACGCGATATAAAAAAAACCTGGCAAGCGCAACGGGGCGCGACGTACGCCGGGACGGGGACCGGGTTCACAAGTCCGACGATTGTTATATCCGTCCGCGTTCGCGACGGAAAACGAGCAAAAATCGATGTTTCCACCGGCACAAAACGACCCCGTCGTCGCTTGTCGCGCGTCTTCGCACGCGCTTTGGACTCGCGCACTTTCGGATGAGAGAGAACGCGTATAACAGAGAGAACGAGCGTAACGTAACACACAGCGCGATAACGGAAACTAGCACTAAACAACACGCGTCGACACTAAAACCGTCGGATACCGTGTAACAGCCGAGCGCGGAGCGCGCGCACCGCGCATTATCACCTTATCGCGCTACGATTTTCGCGTCACGAATGCCCCGACCCGGTTGCACAGACGACGGACGACGCGCCTAGCAGACGACATTTTGCTTCACGCGAGTTCGCACGAACGTCGACGAACGCGGCCGACGATCAGGGCCGGCTCCGCCGCTCGTAGCGCTACGCCAATGACAGTTGTCTCTTCTCTCGTGGAAGACACGTCTCGTTTAATTTTACAGCTTGTTTTTTTTTTTTTTTTTCAATATTGTTCAAATTCATATTTCGAATGTTTCATTGTTGTCAAAGCGATGTGCCACATAAAAAATTCACATTATCGCTAATGCGATCTTTCAACTATTTCCGTTCTGTTTTGTATCGGTTTTGACAGAAGCTTTTTTTTTATATTTATTCGGTGTAAGTTTTTTGTTTTTGTCGTGCCAAGCATTTCGATAACCTCGAGTTTCGTCGTTTCCACACACACACACAAATAATAAAATTGTCAAGATCATATAGTATTTAAAAGAAACTACAATTTTAAGAGGAACGTTTTTTATCCTTTTTTTTCTTTTTTCTGCGTGAGAAATAATAAAATTTAAAATTAAAATTGCTAGAAAATTCAAATCTTTATATAAGAATCTTGCGTATTCGCATACGCTTTCGAACTCTTTTGCATTTTGTTTTCTTTGAGTTTGGACGCGTTCGTTGTGTGTTTAATATAATCCTTGTGGATTCGCATAAATTTTGTCTGTCACGCATACATTGTGCAAGAACTAGTTCCTTGAATTAATATGCGTGTCGCGTGTAACCGGCATGCGATGTAACCAGCGCGACGGTTAACCTTAACTAGGTTCGTTTGCGAACGATCATCATTTGTCCGTTGTTCCTCTCTCTCTCTCTCTCTCTCTCTATATATATATATATATATATATATATATATATTCGATTTTTTTTTCACACACTCATTTGTTCGAATGACGTCACGACTTAGTCAGTTTCGTCCAATTCGCCGAAAGTGAAATATCTGTCGAAAAAGAGCGTTAATGCGCGGCGACGTTTTCAACTTACGTAATATCTATTAAATCACCTCATAAAATTTAGGAACATTGCGGCTCGATCGTATCATTTGCCGTATCTTGTCACGCACAATTGTGACTTTTAAATATCATCTCGGCGATACGCGCAAAATAAAAAAAATGGCGGGGTTTTTGCTTAGTTTGTTTCTCAAATATTCTACCAAAAAGATGTTGTATAAACAAAACTAATTGCGGGAATGACAACGTACCTTAGCGACGGTCGAGCTTTATTCGTCGACGCATTTCGGTGAAGTAATAAACGGCGAAAAACTCACAAGTGATCTTCCACAAACGACACGAGGATAGATAGACGCGAGTCGATATCGAAATCGCGTCGATATCGAAATCGCGATGTTGACACGTAATTGTGTTGGTATTACGCGATATTTTCCCGCGTTTCACGATCACATTGCGATAAAACGACTTTCAAGAGAACTCTCAGGAGTGATTACTCACGCGCTTCACTTCAGATACAATAATTAATACGATAATAAATACAGACCGGTTCTAAACGCAATTCTTCAGTTGTCGCGACGCGTCCGTTACCGATCGGACTAATTTATAACATATCACGGCGTAATCTTGCAATTCTTAAAATATCGAAAACGATTCGACACAGCGAATCAATAGTCAGATGTACGTTCGTGCACATAGTTAGCTAATTGATGCGCAAAATAAAATTCAAAATATTTTGTAAAAACAATAAACCGTACAATAAGTATATAAATTTAAAATATAATAAATCTACATAATAAAAAATACACACGTATAACAAATCTTAATTACAAATGCGTTCGGATGTTGGATTTCTCTCATATTCAGAAATAATGATGATGAAAAATTCATGTGAAAAAAACAATAATGTATTACACGATATCTAAAGTGATCTCAGCTTGTATGTGTGTGTGTGTGGACGTCGACGTAACACATGGTCAATGTCTATCGATTATCCGCATAAAACACTCGAGAAAATTGTCCGACAATTATAGCAAAAAAAAAAAAAAAAGAAAAAAACCGGTCAACAAATACAAGGTGCGATAGACTGATTACAAGCTCACGTACGCGTCTTTGCATGTTAATACTAATGGAATGTGAGATCATTTCTATATAAGTGATGTCGTCAATTTTTCACGTGGTATAAAGCCGCGGTTATACCGACGTTAACTCTGTCACACAAATGGTAGCCTTCAAAACCTTTTGCCGCGGTTGATGTCAGCACTAAATAAAGGTGGTGATACTATCGATAAATCTGTTGTTTCCTCCGAGTATTGAATGAGCAAACGTTTGAGTATATTTGACACGGGAAATGTCATTATTATGTTGAATACATTATCTCAAGTGATCGGTCGAGTGTGTGTGACGGCGATTCCGTTTTTGACTTTTTTTTTTTTTTTTAACGACGAATCACTCGAATCTGTCGATGTACCAGGCACGTTCGGTTAAACATAGAAAACCAAAACACGCTATATTATTATTGTAAATTGTACGCATATAATCGTATGTATATGTAATAAGTTACAAGATTGTATTTATGTTGACTGCATGCTATATTACAAATGACCAGTACAATGACTAGTACAATGACTAGTTTTCGCGTTCACAGTCGGTAAAACATTAACATTCTTAAAATACTTAATACTATAGACCATGTAAATTGTTTTTACATTGGCAGTGATGCTTTCATATCGTATTCTTTTTACTTGGACGGAATGATATATTTTATCGATTTTCTAAAACACAAGCGCTAAACGTGCTGAATCTTGACGTTTTTCAGTATTCCTCTAGCGTTTTTGGTATCGGCAGTGGCTTTTCGCACAAGCTCCAAGTTTTCACGGACAGAAGTAATTTCTTTTTGCAATCGTCCGATCGTTTCTTCTTTTTGTTTCAACAGATGTTTCAGACGTTGCACCTCGCGGAGATATTTGTTTTTCATTCGATTCGCTCCGAGCTGCTGCACCTTCATATTTTTCTCGGTCAGAGCTATTTGTTGTTTGGCGCCTTCGTGTACGATCTATAAAAAAAAATAATAGATTTAAAAAAGTTGATAACAAACTTATTAAAATGATCCATATTTTGTATACGTACCTTTAATTGTTCTTTCAAGTGACCTACTCGTTGCGTAATGGTATCGCCGAGAAAGTGAATATTTGCATTTTCATTTTCCGTATCATGTAAAAGTTTAATTAACTTATCCCGCTCGGCAATTACTCTCTCGTATTCGTGGAACAACTCCTCGCAGTACGAGGTTGTTTTTCTTAACTGGTTCTTGAAAGAATCACGAGATATTCGCAAAATATCTGTAGTTTTCTGAAAATGCTCGAGTTTTCGTTGCATGCGTCTGGAATCAATCAATGGCTTTGTGTTAAAATATATTACCACGAAATTGCGTGAGAGAGAAAAAGTATGACATGTTAACACGCTATACTTACTTTGAATTTTTTTCAAAATTTTTATTCGAAGTTTTCAATTGATTTTTTTCTATCGTAATCACGTCCAGCTGCGTTTTATTTTGACATTGCAACTCTTCTAATTCTTTGACACGAGCGGAGAGCTTCTCCTTCTCAGTTTCATACTGACGTTTCAACTTCTCGAACAGATCTTTACACTCTTCCACAGTAGCATTGTGAATATCAATGGGCATTGTTTTTGCATTGTCATTTTTCAACTTTTCGTATTCCTTCTCAAGGACATTATATTTTCCTTGGAGATTGCTCAGATCGGTTTTAGAAGTGAAGTATTCCTCATGAAGTCTGTTGTTGTCAAACGACATTCCTTCCACTTTTTGCTCGTATAACGAATGAATCTCGTGTATTTTCTGCTTCTGATACACAGTTTGCTTTGTGTAACACTCGTTCAATTCCTTAAGCAAGTCGGCGTCCTCGGATATCATTTTAATTTCATCCGCATACCTGGCACACTAGAAAACTTTTAATATACAATAATTTGATAGAGTATACGATACGCAAACCTGTTTCTATAAATTAAATTACCTGTAATTTCAACTTTTCCATTTCGTTGTGCATGCACTCGTTTTCCGCAATAACTTCTTTGCATCTGGCGCTGAAGTCTGTGATATTTTCTTCGTAATGATTTATAAGTTCCTGTTTTTCCGACAAACTCTCTTGATACGCATCCAAAAGTGGTCCTAGCACATGAGTATTCACCGAACCCCACGATTCCAATACCTTTTTAACGTCATCTGCCGGCCTGTTGAAATCTACTACGTCATTAATACTTCTAGGCACAACTCTCTGTCCAGATTCCTTTAATTTGTCCTGATACTTTTCTAACTCTGTATTCAACTGATATATTACATTTTTGAGAAGCAACACATCTTCATTCAGTTGCGTATTTTCAGCTTCAAATTTTTGATTAAACATCACGAGATCGTTATTGGTTCTCTCTATCTTTTGCAATGTTTCCGATATCTTCTTGTAACGAGCATGCAACTGTTGGTATTCTGTTTCATGTTTTTCTAAAAGAGCACTTAGTTTCTCGCATTCTTCTTCAAGACTGTCGTGATTCTTCAACAATTTATTGTATTTATTGCTAATCTTTGATATTACGGAATCCTTTTCTTTTAAGTTTTCTGCATCACAAGTACTGTTTTGTTATCTTCTAGAAATCTATCATGTTTTTGTTTTATTGCAATCATTGTAGAGAAAGAGAGAGAGAACTCACCAGAATTTGCCGCGGACCGTTCAAGTTTCATTGTTAACATTCTATTTTCCTCAATTAATTTATCTATCTTCTTTTGCATGGCATGTTTACCAATTTTTTTAGACAGTACAACACCGTCGCTCTTTCCATTTTTATCTGTCGATTCGTCGAGTTCACCATTAATTCTCGAATGGTGGCGTGATTTATGATGCCTTCGATGACGCTGCGGTGGCCTGTGTATCGGTTCCAATTCATTTTCTGCAAATGAGATCTTACGACTGCCATGCTGAAATCGTCATAAAATTTGTTTAAGTAACAGAATACAGAATAAAAATTCTTTGATAAACGTAATGACAAGATGTTTATATACGATTCAAATATACACCTTTACCTTCACGTCGCTGCTGCCATCGCGATTTGGCATTACTGTGTTATTCCGAGTGGACGAACAACAGTTAGAAAAAAGTTTTAAAAACCCATGTGCGCGTGCAATTCTGATGTCATTAATTCTTATGACGCGCGTCAAACCTGATCAAACTTTGCAAACCTGACACCTCTCGTTTGTGTTTTGAACGCGGCCATGATGCAACCACCATGGCAACCGGCAATGAGTTGCGGTAGGTTTAGGAACATCAGACGCCATCTAGTTGAACCTCGCCGAAGTTGGAGCTGTCAAACGGCGCGTCAAATAACGCCACGTGTTGCGGCTAGATGACGTGGGTGTTCAATTTTTTTTCTCGTCCAACTTGGTCACCTTTTAATGAAAACGATTGTGTGAATCACTGGAAATTGCATGCTGCATATGTACTGCGCGCGTACATGTGTTTCATTCAAGTTCATTCAACGTGAGGCTCGCTGAAAGGACGTAACACGCGGATACTAAAGGTTGACAAGAAAAAATTGTCCCTGAAGCAATTGAATTCGACGGTATCGAGCGCGAAAATGCTTTAAATTATTTATCGATAATGCTGGCAATCGATTGTAAAACCTACACGACTTTTGTAAATGCTAGAGAATATTTTTTAATAATTACAGAATTGTGTGATTTCGTACTGATTTAACGAATTTTTTTATAATGTAACAAAATGCTAGATCCGACGCGTTCTGTGATCACATTTTGTCCGGACTTGCGATATATGATGTCAACCGCAATGCGGCTTTTACAAACGATCATCTATTTCCGAGTTTTGATTTGATTACAAAATAACTTGGAAGTATATAAATGTGACCTTATCGATCACATCCTAATAAATAAAAAAACGTCCCTATCCCTACACACGAATTATGAAAAGATACAAAAGAAAAACAAACAAATAAAACGATATTACAAACAACAACATAAATTGCACGACAAAATCATAATTGCTTTTACAATATTTTGCGGTTCAGCTATTACAGTTTCGATTTCACACGTTTTAAATAAAAATTCGATCGATTACAGACAGAATTGGGGACGAATTTAAAGTGTCTATACACCCGCGATTAATAGAGTCCCGGAAACAAAAAACAGGACGGTGTGCGTTCCAAAGTTAATAACAAACTACCATTTTATAGTTGGACTATTCGCACTGTCGTTATGTTTTATAATTGCAAACGGCTTTCTGCAACACGACTGCAATTTTTTTCAACGATTAAAACCCGGTAACATCTATTACGTGTACAATCCGGATTATCCGGACGTCTCGAAAGGTCGACAATCCTGCAAATGGATCGTGGAAAGCGATTACCGGGCGAAACTTATCTGCAATATGTTTGACATACCACGGGTAAGATTATCACGGGTGATATCTTTGACATTTGCACGCAATGTTCAAAAATATTCCAGTCATTATCAAATTAGTTTAATGATAATAATGTGTTTTTCTCTCTGTAATGTATTCACACGCACACATATTTTTTTTTTTTTCTTTTAGAGTGTTAACTGCGTCTTTGACAGACTGACTGTGTACGTAAATAATTCCGCGGCTCTTTCGTATTGCGGCAATGAGATATTTGCCGTAGAATCGACGGGCAAAATCATGACTGTTCAATTATCAACGTCATTTTGGTCATCGGGAGTTAAACTGCTTTGTGAGCTGCAAGCGGTTGAAGAAGCGGAAAAAACTGACGATTGCAGATGCGGATGGAAAAAACCGGTATGTATGTGTGTACATGTGTGTGCTTAGTAAAATTAAATCGCACAATCAAATATAAATTTGATTTGTCTTACTTACGCGAACGCAAATATTCCTATCGACAGACAAAAATAGTCGGAGGCACGCAAACCGGAGTTAACGAATATCCCATGATGGCTGGTCTTGTCGATTTTCGTCGTAGAGAAATATATTGCGGAGCAACTATCATATCGCAACAGCATCTATTAACCGCCGCGCATTGTTTGACGAATAGAAACGCGAGCAGTGTGGGTGTAATTGTGGGAGAGCACGATGTTACCACAGGTAAACGCTTCTTTTTTTTACATAAAATAAATAATAAATAATAATTTTGTTTTTTTTTTTTTTGATATCGTATATTTCTTCTCCTCTTGTCACTTGTGTAAGTTATGAAAACCAAAAGAATTTTTTTTTATTCGACACAGGAGCAGAATCCAATGCCACGCAATTGTACACCGTATTCAAGTTTGTTCTGCATCCTCTTTATAACAACGAAACTCTGGAAAATGACATAGCCGTAATAAGAGTGAATTCCATCATAAGCTTCAGCGAAGAAGTTGGACCAGTTTGTCTTCCGTTTCAACATCAGTCCGATTCCTTCGCAGGAAATTTTGTAGATTTGTTAGGTAAGTAGTTTCTTGAGGACTTTGTGCGCGTAACAGAATTTTAGTCGCGTTTATCGTAAGATCGTAAACAAATCGACGAATCATTGAGTATTATTCTTGCTAATATAAGATATTGCTGATCTATGATTGATTGATCTGTTTATGACTTTACTGTTTACGACTGTACCGTTTGCGACTAAAACTTCTTCACGTGCGATGATTTTTAACGCGCGCACACTCATTTTTCTTTTTTTTTTTTTTTTTAATACGTATATTAATTGACATCTAAATTGTCTAATATATAATAAGTGTTTCTAGAAAAATAATGTAAGTTTTCTAAAACTTCTTAAATTTGTTATTCTCTCATACAAATTATGTATAAACAATAAAAAACTATAATTCTATAGTATGATAAAAGTGACACATTTACAGGTTGGGGAACAACGGAATTTGGAGGAGCGAAATCGGACACTTTACAAAAAGTCACGTTGAGCGTAATTACGTATCGTCAATGTCGTAGCCAGCACGAAGATTTATCATACAGTCAGTTATGCACTTACGGAGACAGAAAAGACGCCTGTCAGGTAATTATTTATGTGCAGTAGTCCATAAAGTCACAGAAAATAAATATGTACACACACGCTCATATCTTTGTAGTTATAACTTTTACTACAGTTCGACAGTGGCGGCCCAGTTCTTTGGCAAAATCCCACGACAAGGCGAGAAGTTCTTGTGGGCGTCATCAGTTTCGGCTCTGGTTGCGGCACTGATAAGCCAGGAATCAACACACGTGTCGGCATGTATATAGATTGGATTCTCGGTGTAACGCCAGGTGAATACCCAAAATTTGCAATGTGTTATAAATGCGTTAAATCTCGTTAAATTATTTATAACACGTTTTTTACAGGCACTAATTATTGCAGATCCGAATAGAAATAAATCAAAAAACGATCGTTTATAATTTATTTAAAAAATTATTTTAATTAATATTTATGTATTATATATATATATACAGTTATTTATTCTACCGTTATTTTCCGCGCATCTTCGCAATTACGTGAATTATCGATGTAAGCGATATTCGATTCATGTGATATTTACTGCATATATTAAAAATTATATATTTATTAATTTATTGACTCAAAATATACTTGATTTATTTGCAATATGTTGTATACACACCGAGATATATTTTATTTCAAAACTTCAATGCACGTGTTACGATCAATATCCTCAAATGTCAATTTTCTAAATCAACAGACAAAATCACATTGGCGTTAGAGAGCGTCTGATACAGCGCGAGTGTGTCCGATCTTTGTAAGCGGACGTACGTAGCTAGTACGCTACGATGTTCAAGAGCAACTTATAATATAATCGTTTACCTTGATTTGTTATTAACTAAAAAAAAGCGCAGTTTAAATAAACGCGTTTAACGATCGAATTGTTGGTGGACGCTTGGTGGAACTTAGATTGTCCTTAATAGCGACTTTCATGATAGAAGGATCAACATTGACAGCTCGTAAACAATGTCTCATTATTAAGTTCCTGAATGAGGATGTGACGTGAGACCGTCTATATGGGAGGGAATCTATGGTAAACGTCCACTTACACCGACCAACGTAGTATCACAGTAGCTTACTTGCCATGGTATGTCACTTGCGCGTATGAAGATTTCTATCATGCTCTTACTCCGAGAGAGAGTACTTTGAGAGATAAATAATATAACAATATAAAAATTAGATGCGTAATAATATTACATAATATTGTTATACAACGTATTTGATTTTCCAGTAACATAAGAAGCGATTTGTGTGTGTGTGTGTGTGTGTGTGTGTGTGTATAAATAATTATTTATATTTTCTACGTGTATCCCCACAAATATAGTGAACAATATCATCTCTGATGAGTCATATATTAATAGATTGTCGTACATGTCAAACGGTTGTGTCTCGAAGTGAATGTTTTACGATCTCACATCAGACAGTAACAGTATTTCTTGATAGCGTTTATTAAACAAATTGATTTCTTCGATGTGCATCGCGTCCTTGACACGGTTATTGACCCAATAATTGTACGCAAATAGGCACAATTATTATCGTGATCGCGACAAAACTTCGTGAATATGACATGAACGTTCTCTCGGAAAGGAATTTATTCTCTTCTCATGCGAGAGAAAACTAAAATGTATTTTTTTTTTAATCCTCGATATACTCACAAAAAATTTTTAACACAACGAAAACTCAATTCTGTTTGATAAGACCAGACGATCCGACGTGGAAGGGGCGGGTGTTCGTGAGATTTGAGAAATCGAGCGTTTTCTCTTCCGAGAAATAACAGATTTTTGTCTGTCGTAGAACTTGCAAAGAGATTCTTTAGGATTAAAATATGACGATCTTCAAGCGCCAAATGTTTCGTCGTGAGAACCGCGATGGAACGGATCTGTTAGGGGTTCGCATAATTCGCGTCTGTCCCTAAGGGACGCGGTGCCATTCACATGTACTTACAGAATAATGGCGGCAAAAGTCTTTGGAACGTGGCTCGCAGAAAGAAATTGAATGAGCATTGTCAAGAACGAGATATATGGACTTGTATAACACGCTTCCGCGTGCGACGTTAGATGAATAAGAGATACAAGCGTAGATTACGCTTATATTACACGTCTTTTGGATCACGTGTGGGACGGGCACACGGTAAAATACGAAGAATGTTTCTTGACCCGCCACCTCAATTTTCACAGCAATAGAAAATAATTTAAAATAATTTAACTTTGGAGAGAAGAAAAAAAATCGCACACATCCTGTGCGTCATTCCTGTGCGACATCTATCACACGGATTTAACACGGAGCATTGTATAATATAACGAGGACGCGCATTGCTCATTACGCGCACGTGTCATTATGCATTGTACAATGCATCTTTTTACCTATTGGACAGTTGAATTATCTGCGAAATTAACATAATAATCTGGAACGAATTATTAAAAGAATTACACCTGGATGTGCGATTAAACCGCGTCACAGTTTAATTTAAAATTACGAATAGGAATTGTGCACGCTATCTCGATATATTTAAAATCGGCGTTTCGTTCTTTGATTTAGATTCGTCATATTTTTTTTTCCTCTTATCTGACCTTATTAAGTTTATTCTCGCATATAACGAAACGGTAATTGAGAATCGTTTATATAATACCTGTATTATAATTCGACGTGAGCTCGAAATATATATCCGACACATATCCTCCTTGTAACGGCTGATGAACTGATTCGTATCCGTAAAAAAAAAAAAAAAAAAAAATCATTTCCAAGGTTTACGCGATATTACGCAAGCACGCGCGTGACATTTCTACGCCATAATCAGCATATGTAAAGAAACGACGGACGACATATCGGATTTCTGCAAGGTTGTGCAAACTCGAAATGTTTGCTAAAATACAAATACCAGCTTTTTCGTAATATTTCCTAAAATCTGTAATTAAATGTGTTGTTGTTGTTGTTTGACGGGAATACGCTGTGTATGTTAGCAACGTGTGTTTTATAACGCGTTTTTCGATACACAGATACTTATATATGGAGCATTATGCGTGTCACTGTCGTGATGTTCGATTGCGAATGCCATTCGATGCAAATCAGGTAAACGATGATATACGAGCGGATATTGAAGAACTTGAGAACAAGGTCAAAAGGTTACGCGACTAGTTACGTAACCAGAAACTACTGGCTGACCCGCTCTTCTCTCTCTCTCTCTCTCTCTCTCTCTCTCTCTCTCTCTCTTTCTCTCTCTCTTTCTCTCTCTGTTTCTATGTATGTAAGTACATTATATCTAACTATATATATAGTACGCTAAGAGAGAAAGAGAGAGAAGAGAGAGAGAAAGAGATAGCGAAATGCTACTACGTCTTCCAGAGATGTTATATTGCTATAGCGTCGAATGACGTCACAGGGTGATCGCTACCCCTTTCCCTTTTGGCCGAACGACGCCATAAGCTTGGCAATCTTGGACAAAAATAGGAGAAGGAAACAGAAAAATACTTTCTCTCTCTCTCCAGGATGAGGATATATATATATACGAAATAAAAAAAGGACTTGAAAAATAGAATAAACAGAAATAGCAAAGAGATCGTTATCTGCCGTCTCGCTGCCTTTGATTCATCTGTCACACGATTATACACATGTATTTCGATTTATATGCGCTGAGTGGATTTCTTCAAAGTAATTATTCCGACAAAAATAGAGAGCTTTCTCTTCTCGACTGAAAAAGATAAAGCGGTCTGGATGAGACGTAAGAAGTTACGTCTAAGCCGTTACAAAGATGCTGGGGAAGCCTTTCGATTAAAGTGGTTACATCGCGACGTAGATGTGATGCCGACGCGACGCGTGGGAAGTGGCGCGGATATCTCTCTCTCTACCCTCGCGAAACAACGATCGATGTGACGCTGTTTGTCAGTTTTAAACCACTCACACACACACACACACACACATATTGCGATTGAGAAAACCGCGAAATTTAAATGTATCGTCGCAGAAAGTTGCGTCGTCACGCGTTGTCAACAAATATTTTTTCATTCACTCATTGACGTACGAACGTCAATCGGGAATTATGTACGCAAAAAAACAAATTACTGAAATTACGTTTCGACGAGAACCTACGTCACGCGGAATAACAAATTGTTGAATATTAAAGTTCAGTTTCTAAATTAAACATTGGACTCCGTCCAGCGACCTTTAGAAAAGCTCGCGAGCGAGAAGATTTATATTATTCGTGTACAAGCGCGATCAACGACAAGAACTGATCAAAGGTTGCTCTTACCTCTCGCCAAGTATCGCTGATAGATTTTCGAAAAATTTCGATCGCGACGACTCGCTCCCGAGTATTTTCTACCCCCGTTTCGTCGCTCGCAGAGTCTCTCTCCTCCAGTTTTATAATATAATAAGATAACAACGCTTACACTACACCCGGCTCTTCACCGTATGAAAAAGGGTCGGCTGGCCGGCCGGCGTATGCGCGTACGTGCACAATTACCTCGGCCAATCGGGGACCGGACCATCGGTAGAACAAACCTCCGTCGCGTTGAACAGACGTCGATGTCGCTCCAGAGGTTCCCGTTCCGTTGTAGGTTCGTTCCCTCGCGCACATCGTCGCGCACCAGCGGCGGCTCAGTCCGATATCGACGTTCGTACGAGGCGCATATTCAGCCACAAGCCGCACCGTGGTAGCGAAAATTTTTGCGCGGGCTCGCCGTGTCACACGTATAAACGTACTTTGATTTTTTTTGTGACGACGAAAAAACAACAACAACAACAACAACGACAACAACGAAGCATAAAACGCGAAAAACCAGCAGCGGCTGTAGTTGCGAAGTGGTACACATGGGTACCAAATACTTCGGAGATCCTGCTCCTAAACGAGACACGCGCGTCTGCCGCGACGTCAATTTCGCTCGTCCGAAGACTATCGAGTTTAAATAATCAAATCTGCCGCGCGACGGTGTGTCAATTCCCACGGAAAAAAAAAAAAATTTGAATCCCCTGTTGTATATCGAAAAAATTTGCAAAAAAAAAAAACAAGAAACAAAACGACGACGCGAAGAACGACGAAGAGAGGCGCAAACGCATCATCACGTCGACACGAACACGTCTTCCTCGCGCGCGCGAAGCCGAGCCGGGAGGGAGACTAAATATGAAGCTGAACTCGTGACTTCCAATTGCAACCGATCGTAAAATATATACACAAAGCAAAAAAAAAAAAAAAAACGACAGCGACTCCAAACGAAACCGATCCAATATATAGGAAGTTACTAAGACGATTCTAGAATTGATATGTTGATCTTGGCCAACGCTGGAGAGAAACGCTCGCTTTAAAGATTGCGAACGAGAATATTCTTCGACAGGAAAGAATTGAGATCGGCAAGGAATCTTGAATATTTCGCACGTCAATCGGCTGGTAAAGCCGGGGAAGATTAATTCTCCTTATCTATTTTTCTTTCTTTCTTTCTTTCCAATTCCTCTCTCTCTCTCTCTCTCTTTCTCTCCTCCGTCTCTTTTCCTCATTCGGATATCTCGCTTCCGCGCGAAGAATCGATCGATATTTCGTCCCGACTGTGGCTATTAACGACACACACGCGTACCTTCACACTCCCCTTCTATCTCATTAAATTCTTCACGCTACGATTGCTTCCAAACGTAACGTAAGGTGCGCGCAACCCTCTCCGTGCATCGCTTCTTCCATCAATGTCAATCGGCGCGCGCTAGCTCTCGTTATCGGTCGTCGATATCCTTCGAAAACTCACGTGATAGGAGGTCGCGCGCGGATATCCACATCGTTATAACGACGCGGCTCGATTTTTTATTGGGTCACCCACGAGTCCACCCGAGAGTTAGTTTCGGATAAAAGCCTATGACGTATCCGTCACACCTCGCACCTTTTCCATCCCGCTCGCTTGTACGCGATCGCGTGTACGAACACAGTCAATAAGAAGTATCAAGAATACACACATCACGCGTATCAGACGAAGGCGAACGAAAATTCGCTATATACATATATATATATATATATATACATACATATATATATATACAGAAAGAGAGGGAGAGACTGTTCCTTTTTTCTCTTACCGAAGAAACGTACGTATAAACAACAAAGCGATTTGATATCGGCCGTATCTGTTCGAAGCGAGGACCGATCTCGGTAATTTTTATGTACACGACGAATAGTGCGCGAGGAGATTGCCGATCCTGAGATAAAATCAAGATACAAAAAAAGTGAACGTAATTACCAGTTGCTATCGTTATTAATTATTATTACCGTTGTTGTTGTTGTTGTTATCGTTATTGTTATCCCAATTACTGTAAAGAGACAGAAAAAGAGAGAGAGAGAGAGAGTAAATCCGCCGCGTTTTACCCCGTCGACCCGCGTGTTATCCTTCGCTCCGGAATCGATGAACGTCGCGGCGGTGGTGTAGTAAAGTGATAAAGAGAGAGAGAGAGTGAAAGAGAAAGAGAGAAAGAGATAAGGACTCGTTTACGCGGACGCGAAAAACACACGCGTGTTTTTCTCAAAACACCGGTAATTGAAGGACATTGACGGAAGCGGGAGTGTGTGCTACACACGCAAGAAAAGGGAAATAAACAGAGCGGGAAGATTGGAGTAGAAGAAGTAGCACGTGGGGATCGCGAGAGAGATCAGCTTCAACAAACAAACACACGACGAAAGCCACCGTCCAGGCGATCTCAATTAAGTTACAACATATATCCACAACGGGAAGGGTGGATCGATTCCTTTTCCATTCGGCAAGACTTACGGGAGAATGGTAGTCAAGACTGAGACCGCGAGAAATGGGCACGAGCTGGCTCCCTTGAATGATCGTCAACCTAACGCCCAGAACGTGACGATCGTGGTGTCGGCGACAAATCAAAATGCGACCAGCAGCCAGGAGACGAAGGAGGACAACAGGGCGGCATGGAGCGGAAAGATGCAATTCTTTCTCAGTATTATCGGATACAGCGTGGGTCTGGGCAATATCTGGAGGTTTCCTTATCTGTGCCAACAGAACGGAGGTGGTGAGTTACGTCAGTTATCGTTTTGACAGATTGGGGATAAGAAATACAACGATGGACTGATTTTAAAGAGATTGATGTTTTCTCTTTCTGTGTCATATTGTTTTTTTTAATATTTCACGCAACGCTGTTGATACGTGTAAAGCTGTTTGTTTTCATTTTTGCGACCTTCGCGCGATAGATTAATACACCACCAGAGGTGTTCTTGAAGCTAGGTGAACTCCAATTTCTCTCTTCATTTGCGACGCGCACACACATGTATGCACATTAGCGCCTTGGCAGCATCCGCGCTGATGCGCGTATCTATATAGAAACTCTTGTTTTTTTTTCTTGTATCTACATTTATGTAGGCGCGATAATGTATCTGCAACACACGTACGTGTATTGATGTAAAACATAATAAATTCAACAATTTCAAGACAAGTAAAATTACGAATTAAAAGATTTGCTAAGTCTTTTTTTTTCGGGCTTATTGTTTGTGTTTTCAAAAATCTGACCGCACCGAACTCAAAAATGGATTTTGAATTTTCATCTGACTTGTAGTTCGTTGAATTTTATATTTATCTTGAGTTTCTCGATGTTTCTGCGACGAAGTTTTGACGAATGTCAAATCGTCAAACGGAGCACACACCGGGGGGTTGTCGCAAGTTGCAACATTGGGGGAAGTAGCTCTCGCAAACTTACAGTCGCGGCGTCAGCCTCTACGACGTCGTGCGGATGTAAAGCGAAGAAGAGCAGGGACAAGGTTGCTCGATACGAGGGCAGTGGAACCGGTATAGTGCATGGCTGACTATATTAGTCAACGACTATTTTCAGGTATCCCTCAGGCCGGTGTTAAATATAACTGCCGAACGAAATATTCCTCGCGTATTTGCGTTCTGAAAGACATACGCGCATACTCTTTATCGATTTTCAGACTGATACGCTCAGCAGATACGATATTGCAAAGCCTCTTCCAATATCGTATCTATTTTTGTTTTAATTCTAATTACAAAATTTTGTTTTATTTTGTTTTATTTAACATATTGAGCAACGACATTTCGCCCCAAGATTAGCCCAATGTGTTGGATCACGTTTTTTGGCACCGCTTGTTACAATTTACGCAATAATGAGTAAGACTCGCGACGCGATTCATTCAAATATTTTCATTAAGTGTCTCTTTCAATTTTTTAAATGGTCATCAAGAGAGTTTCAAGATTTATTTTATTTTATAATTTTATTGATCTTTTCAGTTTTATAAATAACTTTTTTTTATATTAAAATACAACAACGTGTTTCTGTACAATAACTATTTGTTCTTATTATTTTATTATTTTAGAATAAAAAGCGCTGTGCTAAGCAACGCAACGCAAATACGGAACAATGTTCTTTTGCGTGAAAAAAAAAAAATCAAAAGAAAAAAAAGTAATATAATATATATAAAACTCGCTAAACTTTCTCTTGTTATAACACAATGAAAGTTAATAAAAATCTCCCCTTGGTAAGATGTGATTAAAACGTTTACGGGTCACGTGGTTCACAAAGGCTAACGTGTTTTGTGAAAAATATCATCTTTATTAACGACATCAAATATTTTCCGGCTGTCTGTAAAAACGGTTTATTAACTGAACTACAAAATGTTTATAAGCACAGGATGTTACGTTATCGCGACGGTGTAAGAAAAAAATAAAAAAAAAAATTTTTTTTAAACTAAATCAATACGAGACTTCGTCCAAGAAATTCTGTTCAAGGTTGAACTTGATTTAAATCATTTTGACGCGATGGGTCGACCGCTAAACCGCAAGTACTAGAGAGACATACGTAACATCAGCAACGTTTGCCACTTTGTTCGTTACATGCATGAAATATGAGTGCAGATATACAATACGCGCTCGCGCGTATGTTGCAAGCTAGACAGATTTTGCGAAGCGAAAACTTTCCGGATGGAAAATACCGTTCGGTTAACGAAGAGAGATAATATTCTCCGTTTGCGTGTACACGTTTGAAGAATTATTCTAGACACGGCAATATTTTCGCAGAGCGGCCCTTTTTATCGCGATCACGAGAGAACGAGAGCCGCTGTTTAACACATATCTATTTTCGCGGAGGTAGGTCACGAGAGAGAGAGAGAGGTGTAGCCCTCTCGCATGATTATGACGTCAGAGTTTATGCACACCGAAATCATATCGGTTACCATCCAACCAACAACTGCGCAGCAGATCGAGCTTCCGTTTACTAGACCGCCGCTCTCTAAACACGGCCTACCTCACTGCTGCGTGTGGGGTAATGGCTTTCGCCTAAAAGTGCTCTCTTCTCTTTTACGCGCATCAAGGATCGAATTTTCAAAAACAACACTCCAATCTCTCTCAACTCTCTCTTTCTTACTCAAGTTGAGTCAATTCGAAACGTAATGTAACACGTTACACAGACGCGCACAAAATCAAAAAGTGTCTCCCGGATAGAAAAATAATTTTAAGAACACACTTTCAGCTAAAAAAGCGTCTTAGCGATTAAATTGTAGATTTGGTCATCGATAACATTTTTGTTTGTTCGAAAGAAAGGGAGAGTTAATTTTCCAATTGGCATTTAGCTTGTGTGTGTGTGTGCCGACTGTGTTACAAGGTTCGATAAATCTGATCTCATTCTCTTTCCGTCGACAATTAACTTTTTTGGATTTTTTCTTCGCACACACCTTGAGGCTAAAATGAGTCAAAGGCACGGCTTTCAATGGAAATTTCCTCGTTGCGCCGTCCCGGCGCGACGCGTCGCCCGAACGCCTATCGATCGATCCATACCACTGTGTAACAGAAAGCACGCGACGACCTAACATCTGCTCCGCCTCGCGGTTCGCAACGTAATACAGCTGCGCCTTAAACAGTCCACACATTACAAGCCATTAACACGCATAAACGTGAGAGATGTGTGATAACATCTCGATATAATCGTCGATATTTTGTCACAAAGAGCTCCGAAGGGCTCGGGAGATCTATCGAGATTGAGACATTCCTCTGTACGCGCGTTTTGATATCTCCTCCTGCTTTATCTTAAAATCTCTTCACGGTTTCTATTCCTGTTGCTCTAGCAAATTGAAGATTGATATAATCGAATTTATATAAAAAACTAGAACGACAACAGAAAAAGAAACAACACTGGTTGTGCGTTGAAATTAAATATAGCACCTTTCTTTCTGCGAGAATTTTTTTGTGTAACAACCGGGTATAAGAAAAAGAACATGTTGTTAACGTTCCCCTTAGAGCGTGAATTTCTCTGTGGCTCTAGACAGTGTGCAAATGTAAGGAAAAAAAAATCGTTGGAAGTACAGTAGTAGAGTGGCTGAACGGGTTAGGACTTAGGCTCCTCGATCAATACAAAGCGCTCCACAGCTTGTACTACGACCGCAAAACTCGACATTCAAAGGAACATGTTTAAATTAGGGGATGACGGGGTGCGTTGTAAAAAGAGAAAAATAATTCAATAATCGAGCAATTTCTCTCTCGGCGTCGATAGGTAAACCAAGAGTTGCGTTTAAAAATAAAGAAAACATGTTTCAATCAAATTCTGTGCTAAATTAATTTTGCGCGTTTTAGGTGCCTTCCTCATCCCTTTTTTCGTGATGCTCATCTTGGAGGGTGTACCCCTCTTTCTAATTGAACTGGGCCTCGGACAGCGCATGCGACAGGGTGCCCTGGGCGTCTGGAACACTATACATCCCTGGTTAGGCGGAATAGGAATCGCGTCTTGTATAGTCACGTTCTTTGTCGCGCTTTACTACAACGTAATTATCACCTGGTGCTTCTTCTACCTCTTCAACTCGCTCGAGGTAAGCAGATCGATCAAAAAGTTCGTAGCACCGATTGATGCAGTTAATCTGCGTCGAGACGTCTTAAGTAACTCTCTCACCCTCTGCGCTTCAGCACAATTTAAATTCAAATGGGCAATGAAAGACGCGTCAGTTATGCGCGCTCTCATACACAAAGTGCTCACACTGATCCGTCAGAGATCATATTTTTTAATAAAAAATATTGCAAGTTAAATCTTAAAAAAAAAAAATTTTTAAAGAAGTAAGACATTTTTACACCGCGTAAGAAAATAAAAGAGATGAGAAAATAAATTTAAGAAAATAAAATCTCAAAAAATTCAAAACAAAATTTTTATCTCGACTGTTATTACCAACGGCGCGAAACATAAATTGACAACGTTATTTTCTATAAGTTTATATACAAAATATTAATGGTATTAATTTTTTTTCTCATATTTTAGGCTGTCACGATCAAATTCGGTGTAAGTATTCATATTTTAATAAATAATAAATACGTGTTGCATCGCATGAACTATATATAGCAAGCAAAATCTCATCAAAATGCGCTCTCAGTTCAGCACTCAAAGTGCCGCTTAAGCTTTTGCTTGCGTCGCAATAAAGGCACGCTCGTTAAAGCGCGTCTATTGATGATCTATTTGCATATTCTGACGCAATTTAGGAATCACTGCCGTGGGCAAAATGCCCAGAATTGGACGGGAAACCAGTCGAAGAATGTGTCAAGAGTTCGGAGACCGCATATTTTTGGTACAGGACTACTTTGGACGCGGCACCGAGTATCGAAGACGGCCAAGGTCTCAAATGGTGGATCGTAATTTGTCTCTTGCTCAGCTGGATCGTCGTATTCTTTATCGTCATGAAAGGAATACAATCGTCCGGCAAAGTAAGTTTTTTACGCGACTGCTTTCACACGCGCAAAACTAATTTTATCATAACTTGACTACGGAAAAAAAAAAAATTCAAAAATAAATTGTTATCGAAAAGATCGGTCTTGTTTTACTACTGAAGTACGCGAACAATAATTTTTAAAATATAGCTGTTCTTTTTTTTCCAGGTAGTATACTTTACGTCCATGTTCCCGTATCTCGTACTCACCATTTTTTTCATTCGCGGGATAACGTTGAAAGGTGCGAGCGCCGGACTGGCGCACATGTACACACCAAAGGTGACGATCGATTCCGATTGAGAGGGAGGGAGGAGTTGATTTTGCCGACGAAAAGAAATCGCGACCACAAGGGGGCGGATATTAGATATGACATTTGCTTGATTTGTTTCAAGGTCGAGAAACTGTTGGAGCCTATGGTCTGGCTTGACGCGGCGACCCAGGTCTTCTATAGCTTCGGGCTGGCGTTCGGTTCCTTGATCGCGTTCGGCAGCTACAACACACCCGACAACAACTGCGTGAGGGACGTGATCCTGGTGAGCGTGTGCAACGCGTTTACTGCCATTTACGCGAGCGTTGTCATTTTCGCCATTTTGGGGTTCAAGGCAATGTCGAACGTGGAGAAGTGCGTCGACAGGTAATGCGACCGCAAACGCGGCCATCCGTTTCTACATTCATCATCGCGAAGAGGGTAGTGTGAGAGAAATCGTCCACGGCTGCGGATGCATATCTTTAAATGGCCTTGATAAAACGGACCAACTGTATTCGGTCCGGAAGATCGAATATGCGTGTCGTCACAATTTTACTCAATTGTTGCTACAACTCGCGCGTTAAAGCGGAACCCACTTGATTAAATTCAATTATAAAAATCGGTTACATTGTTGATATGTACACAACAATTTATTGACCGATAAAAGATGCCATTGAATTAAATCGAGAGGAGAATCTCAATCGCGAATTGTAAACGCGCATAAATTTACCACTATCGCATCACAATTGAATTTAATTATGTAGATCGCGAAAGTGTCAGACGTCGACGGTTGTTGAACATTTTAGAAAGAAACGAGGGAGGGAATTTGAGTTTATATAACGGGACGCGGGATATATGCTAATCCTTGATAATCGACGAACATCAGAGAGACACATGTGGAAGATATATTACATCGCTTTTATTTCAGCGCGAGGGACACCTTAGTAGATAATGGGCTGTTGACTAATCTGACCGCGTTTGGTCTCGAGGACTACGAACGCTTTATGAGTACTTTCAACTCATCGGCAATGAACTTCACGCTAAAAACATGCAGTCTCAGCAACGAGTTGGACAACGTGAGTATATAATGACGTTTCTCATCATCAAATTGTAGTCGGACGTAGAGTTACGTAATAATAATCAAACGACATTTCGTATTCGCAGGCTGCCGAGGGCACCGGACTGGCTTTTATCGTGTTTACACAGGCAATCGTGGAACTGCCGGGTGCGCCTTTTTGGTCTTGTATTTTCTTCATGATGCTTCTGGCCCTTGGTCTGGGCTCGCAGATCGGAATACTCGAGGGTATGCTGTGCGTAATTTTCGACATAGATCTCTTCAAGAGAATAAAAAAGCAATACATGACGGGTGAGTGTGACTCGCAATCGATTCACTGTTGAGAAAATATTGACAAATCGTTCAATCACATTCGTTTCAATCCGTTGATTGTAGGAGTGGTCTGCGTCGTGTGTTTCTTCGTGGGGCTCATTTTCTGTACCGGTGCTGGAGAGTATTGGCTGAAGATGTTTGACAGCTTCGCTGGTACCATCGGTCTCGTCATGGTCGCCCTCATGGAAATGATCTCCGTCATCTTTGTGTACGGTCACGAGAAGTAAGTTTCTTTCTTCGATTCTTCTGATCTTTCGGGAATAAGACAGATTCAGTAATTGTTCCGTATACTCTGCAGATTCACGAAAGACATCGAAGAGATGACCGGATACAGACCGGGAGCTTATTGGCAAGTCACGTGGCGGTTTCTCGCTCCCATAATAATGGTCTGCATTCTCCTGTCTAGCATCGCATCCATGTTCATCAAGAAACCGCAATATTCAGCATGGAACGCCACATTGGTAAAACAACATTGCACCGTGATAAGATATAAATGGGGGAGATAAACGCAGATAATCTGGAATATCTGATTTTTTTTTAATTATCGCGACATAAATGCACGTTAACACTTTTAAATTAACGTAGAATTCTCCCAAGAGACGTGCAGTGCTTTGTTGAAAAAATAAGCCTCCCTTATTTCACGTTACCTGCGTTTACTGTATCTATTTCGCAATTACACAACTTATTGTTGCTCTCATTCATCTCTCAGGGTGTTGCCGAGCCAACGAGTTACCCCGGCTGGGTGCTGGGCATCGCCGCCGCCATAATTTTCGCGGGTATCGCACCGATTCCGATCGTGTTCCTCTTGCGACGATTCCAGTGCGTGAAACTCGACGTGGACATACATCAAGGCAGCATTCGTCGCATCGATACCACCGTTTCTACCAAAGAGATGATGGGTGACGTTGACGTGAGTACAAATTGTCATTACAATTTGTCGTTACATCAGTCGTATGTATATATATTTACGTAGAAAACTTTATATAGTCGTTGAGAGCGGAGAAAACTCTGCGGGGAGAAGAAAAGTATACGCAAAGATTGTGGCTTGTGATGGAATGTGTGTTAAAATCCCGACAAGATTGTTCATTAACTGGACGTTACCTTTCCCTTTGATATTAATTTGTTCTCGAACAAATGTAGCGTGCTCTTTTTTTCCCTTTGAAATAATTGTTTTTGTTTTTGTTTTTTTTTGTTTTTTTTTTAACAAAAGTAGCATTGTTCCCCCTCTTTGTTCCCTCAGAGCTGTCTAAAACAGAGTAGAGTGGCTTAATTAGCGCACCACGGGCTGACGAATATTTCATGCCGTGTAATCGTTTGGCTTTGGCGCGATAAACGGTATACTCGTAATTGCGATGTGTCGCTTTGTGTTGTTTTCGATCATTGTATTAATCATTTTTACGGCGCAAATTGTTTCTCATGGTGAGCCAATTAAGCGTGTGCGTGGATGGATGTTTAGGTAACTTATATATTTTGAACGTACGATCTGCAGTTGTAGGCAAGCATCAATTCTGTGTCTGTGGTAACATCGATTACCCCGTACCGATATCCCCGTAGCTACGTTACACGTGAGTTCGCAGTATAAAAACTTTTGCGAATGCATCCTCTGTGAATGTTAATACTCATAATAGCGCATTCATCGCCACATGCGATTACACCGCAAAAACAACCAATGCGCAGCATCACGCGGTATATATATATATCTCGAACGGCTCTCTGTCCTTCTCCTTTTTTTTTTTTTAACCCAATATGCAACGAATGATTAATAACAATAACAATACTAAAAACTGATATCGCGATTAACCAACAATTGCACGATTGCATATTGAATGGCGAGAGATTATTCATGCCGGTAAATTACACGCTCATCTCATCATCGATATATACATACAAAATATAGAATATATATTGCATGTGATTAGATTTTTAAATATACTACACATCCAATACATATGTGTATAGAAATATAGAAAAACATACGACAAAAACGCTGTACTCTTTTTAGTACAAAATAGAATTTTCCGCAAACAAATATCAAAATAAACAGACGTAATATTTTTCAGGAATTTCTCTACTTGTAAAGTTCTTATGTCTTTAAAATATATATATATATGTTTTTTTTTTCCATAATCGGCACTCATTTTGCATATAATAAAACAGTTGTGAAAAATTTATAAATACTTAGTGTAAATTGTGAGGCGTAAATCTATACTTTGTCAACGAACGCTTGCTTTTTGCAAGTACGTGAACTCGACGTTTGACCCGATGATTAGCATGTCAAATATAATAAAAAAATATACGCCAAACTCTCACCCACCATTAGGCCTCACATTACGCCTCACATTACGCTTCACCAGGAATGAAGAACACGCTCATAAACAGCCAGCGCAATTAACAAGGCGCAATAGAAGTTTTTTTTTTAAAAAAAAAAAAAACATAGATCACACACACACACATATTACACGCAACATCAAACATCTCGATTTGTCAAGACTCAAGACTACGATCGTTTATACATTGAGACATTTGAAGTTAAAATGTTTCCTAACTTTGGGAATTTGCGAAAAATCACGATATAAAAAATTTTTACTTTCCAACATTTATAATCCCAAAAAAACTAACTTTCGCTTCTTCGCACAGGAAATCAAGATCGTAGTCTCGTTACATTTTTTTCGTAAAAAATCCAAAAAAAAACACTTTTGCAATTTTACATAATATCGTCTTCTCTTCATTCCAGCTTGATGAGTATCACGATCGGCTCGAGGACTTCCCGGAAGAGGATGAGGATGTCAATAGCGACGATGATAATAACGCCGCACCTCCCATGGGTAAAATAAACAAGGCGATGCAGGGTAGGGCCTTCAAAATGGAGGTGATGAACTTTTAAGAGCGCGCATAATAAAATCGACGTGATTTCTTCCGTTTGCAAATTGTTCGAAAATCGAAACTAATAACACAAGAGAGATTGGCAGTGATTCTACATGCATAAAGACCAAAACAAAAAAAAAAAACAAACTAAAAAAATATGATGATCAGTATTTGTGCGCGATGTAAGCAATATATCGCATTTTGTGTAACTTATAATAAAACATACTTCCAAAACATGGTCGTTTGTTTGCAAACGCTTAGAGAGTAAAGAAAGTGATAACGTGTATATTTTAGATGAAAGTGCGTTTCGCGCCGCCGCCGGAGCGAGAGAAAGAGAAAGAGAGAAAGAGCGTTGTTATCTTGAAAATAACGTTTTCCGTAACATATTAGTCGTACACACTCTTCGAGAAATTTATTTATTGCGAGCGAAGATAAATCTTGTGTGTAGATTTTCGTTGTGAAAAGAGATTAAATAGAAATGATCTATTTTTGTAATGAGATTAAGTTTGACTTTAAATCTCTCTGATTTAAAGCTTGGTCTTTATATGTACAGTCATTGAAGTGTGTCGGGGCCGTGCGTTCTTAAAGATGGATAAAAACCAAAATATATATATACATATATATACCGGGATAACGAACAACGAATAAAAAAAAAACAAAAACAAAAACAAAAAACAACAAATGCGAGAGATCGAAATTCATCTAAAATCTTCGTCGATATGTCATCTCTCACGAGCGAGAAGCAAACCGAACAACACACGAAATTGAAACACGCCGATTTCGTTCGTATTGTTGGCATACGCGTCTTTCAGAGATTTGCATTGTTCGTTGTTCGCTCGTTCGGTAATCGTACGTTGAAACAAATGTAAAAGATGTGTCGATCGATCATTTCGTGTGTATATATATATACATATATAATATACACGTAAGATAGATACGTAGGATATGACCGTGTAAATTCGCTACAAATCGAGCTCAATTTGTCAGAAAGAAGCGCCCGCACCACAAAGCAATATACGGAATATGTTTTTAGAGAGATGTAGCGCGCGTGCTATCTTAATTGTCACGCTTTCGAATGAAATCGCGCGCAAAAGTCAATCCAGATTGATCGCGGTAGCTAGACACGTAGCGGAGAACAAAAAAATAGCGAAGAGAGAATAGCTGGCTTTTTTTAGTTGTATACGTCGCGCGATGCGAACGCGAGATATCGTTTTTTGGTTTCGTCCGAAATCGAATTTTAGTTGAAAACGGCGAGAATTTGTTTGTTTGTTTGTTTTTTTTTTCTTTTTTTTTTTTAATTTTAGATTAATATACATACATATATATATATATATATATATATATATAAATATCTAGTTTGATCTTTCCAGTGAAAGAGACGTCAAAGAGACTATAGACAATAAAAAAAAAAAAAACCGAAAACGTAGTCGAGTTGTTAGTCAAACACATAGACGGGTTTGCTCGCTCGCTCGCTCTTTTTACACGGCCCCGATCAAATATGTGCTTTCAATTCCTCCGAGGTTCTACCTTTCGCACGTTATTGCCGCAGCTCAAAAAAAAAAAAAAAATTAATCGACCTTGCCATCGAGAAACTGTTCCAAAGTCTCAAGTATTATCAAATAAATTACTGATATCTTTAAGTTTTTAATTTCTACGTAGATATATTTATACATATGTACATAAAAACAGATTTTTATTCTTTGTAAAACATTTTTTAAATATTCTTTCGATCAAAAACAAACAAACAAAAAAAAAGATATTGATTCGTAATCATGTTACATTAATATTAGAAATATATAATACGCGTTTGATAGAGTTTGTTTTTATAATTTAAAAAATACTAGAGTTTTTTATATATATATATTTTTAGAAAGTTTAATTCAGAGAGCGTACCCATTCATTTTTTCGGATCGACACACGGTCAATCGCGAATCTGTATTATTATTAATTTAATCTTGCACATCCGGCGCTCAGGTCGACGACTATGCCATCGAACAACAACAAGTCGCATTTTTAATTGGAGATTAATTTTGAAAAAAAAATAAATAAATAACATTTACGTTGCACGCGAGGGATGTCAGTTTCTTACACGCAAAACAAAAATTGTTGGCTCGAACAACTTTATTGTTTCAAATGTTTCAAACGCGTCCATGCGGCTGTGTCGTCACTAGTTATCGTTAATTTAACAAATTAGAAGAAGACATCACAGTGCGAATGCGTTCTTTTGTCGCTGATAATTTCGCCAGGAAAAGTGAAAAAATTTTCGCGAGTCCATCACGCGGTGCCAATTATGTGACATTTCATGTATCACCGGAGAGCGCAGGATATGTAGAAGAGAACACACTCGGCATCGTGTCGCACGAGAGAGAAATTTGCGAATAAGTTGTTGTGTAAAAGACCTCCATTGTCGCAAGATTGAGTTTTTTTCTTTCGCGGGGCGTTGAGCGCAAATACGCCATTGTGTGTGTATGTGTGTATGTGTGTACGTGTGTTTTTGGCTGGTCCGGCTATATTTTGGAAATACCGATTCCGCGCTGGTGGGATGATCAACGACGAGTGGTCGGTATTGTAAACGCCGAGTTTTTCATATCTTCAATTTCTCAACAAGATATCTCTAAATGTGACGATACCGGTTGCATTACACGCCGGTCGAATAATAATAAACGCAATGTCAATAAATAATCAAGCCGCAATCCGGAAATTATAATCGTTTGCTCACAGTACGAATTTTATCTCCCGCGAGACACTCGTTCGCGTGTACGATTTGTCGCGGGATTCAGTCCGCAGAGAGACAAGCCACTGTATTGATCATCCTGACACTAATTTATATTGTACATACACGTTGAACACACACTGATCGGTTTCCAGTGTGAAAAACAGGTATAATACCGCGATTAATCCGCGAACAATTTGTGACTCGTCTTAACACATCGGTGAGTCAATGCGCACCGCAAAAGCGAACGTCTCGCAATAAAGTACTCGAGTTGCCAAGACAGAGAGAGAAAGAGAGAGAGAGAGAGAGAGAGAGCGACGGAAAGTGTAAAAAGTAAGGAAGAGACGCGCGTGGTTTCAGGAAGAGACACATTACATCGATGTGACATGAAATTCGACGAAAGATAACGCGTGTGTGCCATTGTAAATAATATTATAACTCGGCGCGTTAGATGCACACAAAACCGCATCTAAATCAATACCTCGTGAAGTACCTATTTTTTGAATCGCTTAGGATAGTGAACGACCTACTACGTATATCTACACTTACTTTCTTCCCTTTTTTCTACGTAAAAACTGTCATTTCCTCTCGATCCGTGTGAAAGACACTTACTTTGAGAAAATCTTAGTCGTTATATACAAGCGCAGACACACACGAGCGGACGATGTGCGAACTGGCGTTTTCTTTCGATGCGATATACGAAGTTGTGCGTTAACAAGTGCGATAGTCGTTTTTGAAGGTAGTTAACAACACCGACCGAAGTTAAAACGCCAAGTTAAAAGTTTCTTTTAGAATTTCATTATATCGTTTGATTGACTTTTCACAATGTTCATACCGTCCGAGGTCGTACGCTGCATCATTCTACGTGTGAAAAGTTGCGAAAAATTGTATAAAATTTATTTCTTTTTATCACATTTCGACCCGGTTGTTTTAACCCGCATCAGTTTACACAGTGCACGCTACCCATGCGAGAACAATTTATGTATTTATTTCTTATTCCGAGATGGAGAATAGAGAATTTTCATCTCTCTCTTTTTTTTTTTTTTGTCTTTTATTTCCAACTCCTTCGAGTACGAATCTTTCAAAATTCACATAACGAAAAAACACTGGTTTTCCAAATACAAAATTAAATTCTTAGAATATTGAAATCTTTTTAATTCGAAATTTTTTACAACTGTATCTTCAATCGAATTATTATTTTTCAATTGTTATTTCAGTTCTTAATAAATAGTATCTAAAAAACATATTCTAAAAAAAAAAGATAAAACAATAGAAAGTCTAGAATATTCTTTCTTCAATTTTGACTATTTTCTTTGCATTATCGCCGATTAAAAGCAAAAAAAGAGAATGAAAATTCTTACAAGGATGTTTATTTTCTATCGTTTGAAAATTTTCGCCAAATTTCAGGTTAACAGAGGTGGTGATGTTTGGAAGTTCGATCGAAGAAAAAGTATTTGCTCGGTTATATTCTTCTTTCTCAAAAATTGAAAAAAAGTAATGTGTATATTTAGAATTTTTTTCTCAAAATCGCGCGCAAGTCTTCAACGATCGAAGAGTTGAAATGTCTCTTTTGGCCTATCTTCTTATCGGATGTAAATGTAAAAAAAAAAAAGACATTTAAATGGCACCGTCAAACAACATTCACAGAACACTTTATTCTCTTCGTTTTTTCGGAGCGGTGGATTTTAGAAGTTTCGCTCAGGCGTTTTACGTGTCCGATGCGCTCGGTAATTCCTCGAAGTGATATATGTACATAATTGATGAAATAGTCAATAATTGACATAATTAAATGTTTAACAGATCGTTCTGTCTAATTAGGCTGGCTAAAATTTCGTTACGTGCACTCTCGTCGAGAAAACAAATAAAAGAAAAGAAAAATCCTCTCCCGTACGAAAAACACACACATTTCTCTTAATTTACGTGTAAAATATAATAAGAGAAGATACAGCGAGTAATTATTAAAATTTCGTTCGTTAGGTTTACACACACAAATGCGTAACTCCGTTTCGGTCCGAGGAAATTTACAATTTCGAACGGACAGAAGCGATTATTCTTCCGATAGTATATTTTATCGCTCGACACAATTGTATGGTTTGGATAGTGCGAACATGCTCAAAACTAAACTACTTGTTCTTAAAACCTGAGCATTGTCGCAGTACTGTTAGCGACTGAAAATTTAGGCATTTCTTAGGAGACACAGTGTACACAAGATTCAAAGCGTTTAAATAAAAGCTTATTTATTGCGGAAAAAAAAAATCGAATTCTTTCTGATATAAAAAAGCTCTTGAACATTAGAATATTTATCACGTGCACATGTGCTCGAGTACAGTGTATCGCGGGAAGATCGATAAGATAACTTTGGATTAACAAATTCGGCAAATGTTTCATTATCGTTTGCAAAAATCATCGATTACTCACTCAATCTCTACTCGGTGTCGCCATCTATTTTGCACGAAAATCAAGCGAGCACAAATGTTTCAACATTTTCCGAATTTGAGAGCAAATGTTTATTTTTTACTTGTAAATCCCCCCCTTCCCCAACGCAACTTAGACTTTGTGCTGCGCGTGTAACTTTAGCGCTAAAACTGTTATCAGTAACTGTCCCTTTTCCACGTAGAGAATTTCTTCTTTATAACGTTAACGATACATGGAAGTAATGTATATGTATACACTTTGTATAGATAAATAGATACTCTTGATATCTCGTTACGTGGAAATACTAACCTTGATAATCGCAACGATACCATATTTGCTACGATAATGTTGTTTATAAGACGTTACTGTGATCATTGAGCCCTCCCACGTAACATTTACGGGAAAATCTTATCTGGTATAGCAAATTACCAAGTCGTAGTAACGTGTCAGTCACTTGGTAGAATGCATCGAAGCTATATCGCGAGTTTCGTCGAGCACCGGTGAATTTTGTCATAGCCTTGACTTAGTTTTTTTTTTTTTTTTTTAATACTTTCGGGAATGAATATTCGTCGAGATAATCCTCGTTCGAGCGCGACGATAACAAACAACGATGATGTGGGTGGCGAAAATGAAACGGAAAATTACCGTCGCAACGACATCGCGACGCGAGAAACCGACAACTCGACCGAGTTTCTCATCAAGTATCGCGACCGCGTTTACAATATTCGCAATTTTTTGCATCATCATCCCGGAGGAAGAAATACACTCGAGCGTTACAAGGATCGAGTTCTCGACGAAACTTTAGCGAAATATTCACATTCCAAGTCCGCTTATCATCTTCTCGAAGAATTCGCTGTGCAGCAACAGGAGAAGTACGACGGGTGCGAAGTTAGTATTATAGCAACAAACGCGGTGAAAATAAACGGTCGCTTTTTACGCACGTCATAAATCAATTTCATGCATGCACTCTCTCTCGAATATGACGCTCGAAATAGACATTTTATTTTACAACATACATTAAACAATTCGCACGTCAAAGAATTTATCTAGATCCGTTACGCGTCGATGTTAAAACAACTTTTATCTTATGAGTTTATCTCACTCTTACGTGAAACGCACACACACGTTTGTGAAAAAAAGTTACGAAGATAAACCCGTGTGTTGGAGAAAAGACCGGTTTCTACCGATATTAATTTATATTGCTCTTATAACGTTTAATCCTCTGGATAAAGTTTTTTTTTTCATTATGAAAATCGAGATAAAAGTTTTTTCACACGCAGAAAAACCGTATGTATAAGTAAGTCTGTGAGTAATAGCAAATGTAAATATATCACGTAACACAATTCGACGTGCGCGCAGGATTTGATAGACTGGAACGCACCGATTTTGCAACAAGTTGGCCTCATGGGAGATCGATACTGGGAATGGGTGAATTTACCGGTGAACCGGCCCATTCGATTTTTCCAATCGGATATTTTGGAAACGTTATCGGTCACGCCGTGGTACGTTCTGCCGATTTTCTGGCTTCCCATGGCTACGTATTTCTTTTACGTGGGATGTAGTTCGCACACTGCGATAAATATCGGTAATTCATCAAGATTTATAATATCATTTATATATATCGATAAGATCAATAAAAAATAAATGTAAAAATTCATTTAAAAAAAACATACATTTTAAATAAAAATCCAATTAACCCTTTGACGTACAAATGACGAGTTAGGATCGTCATTCATTTCATGTGCCACTGTAGATTTCGACGAGTCTGACTCGTCAAGAGCTGTTCCAAAATGTTTTGAAATGTTTCATATTTTAAAGAACTATTAAATTATTATTTTATAATGTTAATTTAATTGTTCTCCATTAAATGTTATATAACAATCCAAATTTCAAAATAAAATCTTCTCTTTCTCAGCTTGCACATAACTGTTCAGTTGAGCGAAATTAAATAGCATTTTTCGGACGCATCAAATTCCATTTTATTTGTATGTCACGGGGTTAACTGTCCAATATCGCGTTCTAGCGGTTACGTTGCAGAATATATTACCATCGTTCGTCTTGGGAGTGTTCATATGGACCGTTGTGGAATATTTCGTACACAAAAAAATTTTTCATTTCAAGCCACCGCACAATTCAAAATTACTTATTACTCTGCACTTCTTGTTCCACGGGAATCATCACAAGGTACTTTTAGCGAGTGTTTCTCCGCCGCTTTATATATTGTTACTTTCGTATGTTATCGCATAATTATATGTGTCATATCGCATAATTTTTTTTTTTTGCAATTATGTTGTTACTGTTAAAAGGCGCCATTAGACGGACGAAGGCTGGTGATTCCACCGATACTTGGCGCTATTGTTGCGGCAATCGTTTGGAAAGCTTACAAAGCGATGTTTCCTCTGACGATAGCTCCTTTTGTCGCTGTCGGTACCATAATGGGTACGCGCCGTTTTTTTTTTTTTTTATAAAAATCTTATTTCAATATTACAAGTTCGTAAATACACCTTCGATATATCGTATAGGCTACTTATGTTATGATCTGATGCATTACTACTTGCATTACGGAGCGCCGAAAGCTGGATCGTATTTGTATACGATGAAAAGAAGACACAACTATCATCACTTTGTATATCATGATCAAGGTAATGTGTAAAGTAATATATGTGAAAAGTGATTGATAGTTATTACTTATTATTATTATTATTATTACAGGATTTGGAGTAACTAGTGAGTTGTGGGATCGATTACTCAATACGGATTTAATTATGCGAAATTTAAAAGAACCATTGGAATGGTAAAACGCTTATTAAAAACTAAAGTGCTGATCGCATATTTATTAATTACATATATTTAATATACATGTATGTATGTAATTTATTATCGCATAAATATATTTCATTACAATCACACAATTAAAATAAGTTCTCGATATAATTTGTTTTACAATAATCGCTTACATATAAATTTATGTAACAACAGTCGTTCAATCGCAAACGCAATGTAAGAGTAAATTAAATACAAATACAGTATAAAAGTTAAAAGAGAATGATTTTATACATTCGATATAAATGTAAAAAGAGATGTGCAAATAAGTCTTTTATCCGGCAATAGACTAACACAGTCATAAAGTGTAAAAAAAGTAAGTTTTGCATTTGCAACTTGTCAATAAAAAAAAAAAAAACAAATAATGCTAAAGTTGCTTTGTACCAGCAAAGTTCTCAATATTTTAAGTACATAATCTTGATGTATCTATAAATTAAGTACAGTTTGTCTTTCATTTCAAGTCTAATATCACATATAAAATTCAGAAAATAAAACATTATACACTCTGTGAACAGAAATGCATCATAATTGAGATCTTAAATAATATCTGTATCAACACTCCATATGTATATAAGTACTCCTTATATAATATATAAATAATATGTGTATATATATACATATATACACATATATATATACACAAGTGCAATTCTCTATTCTAAGTTTTAAATAAATATCACTGTGCTTCTCCCTTAATAGTTTTCCTGCCCATACTCAATTGTGGAAATGTGCTTTTATTAGCAGGCGGATTCAGCTTTGACGACAAATGCATAAATGCCTCGAACAAACTAGATCTGTCCATGACATTAACCTCGTAATGTTTGATCTTTTCTCTGGTGCACCAATTACTCGCCTTGCTCGCAGTATTTTCCAAGTTATTCAACGCGGCATCGGTTTTCGTCCGATTGCCAATTACAATCACAGTTATTTCCTTCTTATCTTTATTCTTATCGATGTCCTTTTTCAACGGAAAAAGCACATCGAGAGATTCGGGCTTACCGGTATCGTACACCAAAACGTAGCCGTCGGCAAAAGCAAGATAGTGTCGCGGAAGCTGTTGATTGTTAACGTTGCTCTGTAATGATTCCAGTCCAGCTGTGTCGTAGAATCTGACCTTCTCTTTCGTGCCCCTATCGGTCTCAATGTTGGCGACGTAAATGTCTTCGATCGTAGGGTGAATTTCCTGCGGAATAAATAAATTTATAATTCTCACTTGTACTTGTTTACAAAATTGTTTCGAAAGTAACCTAAGTTTTACTCACACACCGTTTTCACGTCGATGTTCCCGTAGATAAGTTGTTCGAGTAACGCGGTTTTCCCGACGCCTTTCATCCCGCAAACAACTACTCTCGTAGTCTTGCCCATGTTCAATATTACCGATAAGTTCTCTTGTGTACAGATGACATCAGTAACACACAAACCTCCACAGCTGACATCAGAGAATCCTTTGTTTTTATTATTATTTGTATTTACGTTCTACCCGTAGGGTAGAAACACTGTGACTTTTACGTTTCATTTTTCCGCCACTTAAGCGATGGAGACGCTGCTATCTTCTTTACCTTAAATCGAAAAGGCTTTCGATTTATCGATCAATTATCGAGATATCGAATGCAAGGCAGTCTCCTCCTACCAGAAAAAGCGTGTGCAAATAATCAGAATCATCGATTCTATCAATCTTGATTGTTGCCTCTTTTCCGCGTTGCCGATTGGTTGGTTGATTGATCGAGTCGAATCGAATCGGTAAGATCGAGAGAGTAAATAATAAAAGCGATTTTGAGACAGTCTTTTCGTCGTATATGTAGAGAAAATTAAAAACGTAACTAAAGTCACGTGACAGGAAAAAGTAGAAAAACAACACGTAAAAATAACGTGACTGTAATTTATATTATATATAACATTAAA